AGAATGAAGCGGGTTCGGGAGATGAGGGTGTATCAGTCAGTTTGGGCCGCTGTAACAAATACCACCACACACTGGGGGCCTTCAACAGAAATCCCTCCTCTCTTCTGGGAGGCTGGAAGTTCGATCCTCCTGAGTCCCCTCCGTGGCATGGAGACACCGTGTTCTCCCTGTGTCCTCACGTCATCATCCCCTGTGCGTGTATGTGTCCCGATCCCCTCCTCTTACAGGACCCCAGTCCTACTGGGCTGGGCCCACCCTCGTGAGCTCCTCTTACCTTAACCCCCTCTTCACAGACCCCTGTCTCCAAATACATCATATTCCAGGTCCTGGGACTTCAACCTGTGGATTTGGGGAACTCAGCCCTTGACGGAGGTGGGCCGGGGAGACATGGGGATGGCAAGGCAGGAGAGGACTTGGGTCCAAGGCACCCCAGGAGTCCAGGTCTTGGGACCAGTCACCAGCTGGAAACCCCTGAGCCCACTGCTCACTCTTGTAAGGTACATTTGGGAAACGTGGAGTCGGAAGTGAGGTATGGATCAGAGTCACGAATCCGGGACTTAGGTTTCGGGTTGGTGTCATTTGGCTTCTGTGTGTTTCCCAAAGTGACAACCTAAATGGCCCAGAACTACGGCAGTTGTGAGGGATGCTGTCGATTTTACTTTAAAATGAGAATCTGGTGTTTCTGTAAGTTATCGTTTTCTTTTTAAAACATTTTTTTAATGTTTTTATTTCTGAGAGAGAGAGACAGAGAGACAGAGTAAGCAGGGCAGGGTCAGAGAGAGTGGGAGATACAGAATCTGAAGAAGGCTCCAGGCTCTGAGCTGGCAGTCAGCATGGAGCCCAATGTGGGGCTTGAACCCACAAGCTGTGAGATCATGACCTGAGCCAAAGTCAGACACTTAACCGACTGAGCCACCCAAGTGCCCCTGTATGTTATAGTTTTCAATCAAACTTCTCAAGTGATTCAGAAATAACATCAACAGCAAAATAACCCCAATGAAGGGCATCAAGAGATGCTCTCGTGGAACATTTCTGAGACTGTTAGGTGCAGAGCAGCACAGCGAGTTACACACCACACAAACTGAGAGAATCCAAGCAAGGAGGTTCTGTGTGTGGGGCCGTCCACAGACGGGAGAGGCCGGGCCATATGGGGACTTCTCACTCCGTGTTTCTATTGCTGGACAGCTTTTCTTATGTGGAAAACACGGTCCACGATGACGCGAGGGGCGGGACGGACCCGCTGGTGTCTGCCCTCGAGACTTGCACTGCGTGACGCTGGGCAAGGCCCTAGCCTCTCTGGCCTGGAGCAGAAATGTAGCAGTTGGTGAGCCCCGCCTTGCTGTGAGCACTTGTGTGTTCACAGCACACACATGTGTCCACATGCACACAGTCATGTCTGTGCAAATACAAACACACTCGCTCAGTCACACGTACACACATGCACACTCCAGCCTGGAGGTCCATGCCTGCACCCTGCTTGGATCTGGCATCCAGGTGATATTTAACCGTGAGGGACATGGGCTGAGTCTGACCCAGGAGCTGGGGTCGTGCAGAACTCAGGAGGGCTGGTGAGGGTCCAGGCCAGAGCCATGTGCGCCTGTGGCCGGAGACCAGGCCTACCCGCTCTGGGCCTCGCCCCATCCAGAACCAGCCCCTGCGGGGAGCTTGCAGGTGGGAGGTAGCGCTGAGAACCAGTGAGTGCCCTTCAAACCGGGCATGAGAACCGCCTGTGGGTCACATCAAAAGCAGATTCTGATTCAGAGGGTCTGGGCAGGGCCTGAAAACTGAGAACCTGTGCTCTGACCAGCTCTGCTGCTGGCCCATGGACACACAGGGAGGCTGCGTGCTGGTGGCAGGAGGGGAGGGGGTCCCAAGGATGCACAGGGAGGCAGGGTGCTGGGGGGGTGTCCAGGGGACACCCCGGCAGGCGGCGCTGTCCTCCCTGCGAGCCTCCGGGAAGCTGGAGGGAGGCTTGTTGCACACAAATCCTGTTACATCCTGGCAATTAGAGTTTATCGCTGTGGCACTAATCCCTTAAAATTAGTCATTAGCGGCTTAAGAACCATTTAGCGCTGGGTGCCCACTGATGAGTTGGCAGAGGTGGGGATCTGCCTGAACCGGAACTTTCCGTGGCCTGGCGGCTGGGAACTCAGTGGGGCAGGCTCGCATGGCTGTCTGCGCCTCCCCGGCTCCCTGGGGGCCCGAGGGGACTGGGCCGAGTCCAGCTGAGGGGAGCCAGCCTGGGGCATGTTGGCAGGAGCTGTGCTCTGGGTCCCACTGCTTGCGTCTTCCTGCTTCCTTCTGGAAAGGAAAACCCTGTAGTCAGAGCACAGCCACTGTCCACCTCAGGGTGGCCCATGCATCAGCGCCACATGGGGGAGTTCTCCAGCTGGAAGCGTCCTTGGGAGACCCACTCTCTGTGGAGGGAGGGAGTGGGGGACTGTGGCAGGGATGGGACACATGTCTGGGCATCCGTATCTGAGGAAGCCTCTTTGCTGGATTTGAGCTGCCCGGCACCCATCCGGTCCTGCAGAACTGGGGACAGCGAGCAGGCGGCTCAGGCTCTGCCCATCCTTGACCCAGCCAGGCACCCTAACTCAAGAGGGGGCAACATCTTCGGGGGCAGTTTAGGAATCATTTTGGAGAGTGGTGAGGGGGCCCTGCAGCCATGGGGCCTCATGGCATGTGTCGGGCAGTGGGTAGGTGGTGGCCATGGGGCCACATGTCCACCAGTGGGAGTAGGGGCTGTGGCACGTTGCAGCCCAATTCCTCAGCTCTGACCCAAATCCTTCCAGAACATTCCTTTTTTGGCCTGGGCTGGCCCTGCAACCAACACCCCCTTAGGGGGCATCCAGCCACCATGTCCCACTGCTGACCGTTCTCTCTGCCACCCATGGGGTAGAGGTCAAGAGCTTGTGTCCTGGCCCATGATCCAGGCCATCCCTGTCCCTTGAGGTCTGCCTGCTGCCGGAGCCCAGCTGGACCCCCCTACCTAAGCCATTTGAGCAAGAACTGGCCTATGCTCACTGCCCTGGAGGGTGCCTGTCCCCAGTAAGCGCCATCTGCATGCAGGGACGATGGACAGGCATGCACACAAGGTGCCACGCAGGGCATCTGTACAGGCTGGTGATTCTGCATCCCTTTCTGTTGCACAAGCAGCTAGCCCCTCCAGCTCTCCATGGGGCAGAGGAGAAAAGGGAAGGGCGTGGCCTCCCCGCCCATCCCTGGCCCTCCATGCTCCCAGGCTGGGGCCCCAGAACACCCGCGGGGGCCTTTCCTCACACCAAGCTGAAGACTTGGGGCCCCCACATGGAGGGAGAGCAGGGCCAAGCCAACATGAGGCCTGAGGGCCTCGGACTCTCCCCACCCCCTCTGCAGGTTTCTGATGGCGCAGAACACAAGATCAGGGACTGAGCCTGGCACACACGGCTGCTCACAGTGGCCTGAGTGGGCGGCCACTCTGATGTCTGCTGGAAACTCAGCATGGGGGGTTTGTGGCAGAAGCCAGGACCCCCGGGAGCTTCCTCCCAATTCCCGAGGGGCTGCTCTGCAGGGTTCAGTGGGCCTCCAATCTGGGGAGTGGGGTTTGGAAGCAGGTACATCAGTGAGATGGGATGTGGGCTGGGGAACCTTGGGCTTCCGTGTGGGCAGGCGGGGGCTCTCGGTGCATCTGGAGTCCACCTCACTGCCAGTGGAGGGTGGAAAGTGCCCGAGCTGGACCAGAGTCCTGTTCCCACTGGCTTGTAGCTCCGGGAAGCCACATCACCACCCTGAGCCCGGGTTCTCACTTGTGAGGTGGGAACAGCAGAGCCATCTGGGCTGCACTGTGATCAACAGAGCCAGAGGCTCCAGCGGCTGACCTTGGTGGTGACCCTAGGGCCTGGCCAGGCTGTGTCTCTGAGGCATGGGTCCACAGCCCAAGCTCTGGAACTGAACGGCCCGACGTGAAAGCATGGCGAGTCTCCCTCAGCTTTGCTGGGGTGGGGGCTGGGGATGCAGGGGGAGGTGGCATGGGTTGGGGGTCAGGCATGGGGGGTGCAGCCCGAGGCTCCCCAGGGCACACTCCCCCTGGGCTCTAGGGAGCAGGGGACCTAGTCCTGACCCACACCCCCACTGCCAATGGCTTTGGGACCCGCTGCCGGGCAGGGCCGACTCAGTGAAGCTGTGCCCTGTGGCTGCTTCCACGGAGCTGCTGGGCTCAGATAGCGGGCTCGCTTCATGACATGATTGCTGCACCCGCGGTGAGGCTGCCCAGCCACAGGCTGGCATTGCTGATGCAGACACATAGGCGGCTGACGTCAGGACTCATTTTCCCCATGACTGGTGACAGGCGTGGAGTGCTGAGCTGTGCATGTCAATGAGGTGGCACTCCGGTACTCCAATGCCAGGCGATCTGTCTCCTGTCCCCCGAACTCCAGTGCTGGGGGGAGGGGCGGACCACCACCCAGGCCTCCCCAAGGACCCAGGCCCCTGGTCTGTGGGTGCCATCAGGCCCACAGCTATGAGCATAGAGGCCAAGGCTGGACCCCTTCCTGTGAAGACGGCCCCTGTCCCTGTGCCCCCAGCTGGGCCTGTAGGAGCCTTGGCCCATAGGTCCGGGGAGAACCCCACCCCCGCCCTGGGTGCCCAGGTGCGTGCAGGCTGGAGGTCCTGAGGTCAGCACATGAAGGGGGATGAAGCTGGCATCACCAGCCTTGCCTGTGGAGTCTGGCTTTTGGGAGGCCCCACCCCGATGAGAGGCCCAGCCTGCCCTGGCTGCCAGCACCCACACAGGGGCTCGGCCCCACCTACCCACTGGCACCTGGGGAAGCAGCATGCAGGGGCATCAGTCCCTTGTGGGGGAGGGGAGAGGGGCAGAGTCCAGGCTGGGGGTGTGTGTCTCGGCCACTCTGCTCCCCTGAGCACTTGCTCCCTCCTGTCTGTGGTGGGGGTGGTGGCTCCTGGGCTGCCACCCCTGGTGGCAGTGGGCGGAGCGGGCTGGTCCTCTCAGACGCTCACAGTAAGCTGGCAGGGTGGCCAAAGAGTACACTTTATTTCACACGGAGTGGTGACCTCGCTGGGTCTGAGCGGTGTGTGGGTGGGGGTACACACTGGGGAGGGGGCCGGAAGTGGGCGCACATAGCGCTGCCCCCTGACCCCCAAACAGACCAGACATCCCGGGGAAGGAGGATGGAGCCCCTTCCTTGCAGAGCAGCTCAGTCCTGCGGCTACAGATGTGGGCGAGGCAGGGGGCCCACCTGGCTGGCATGCGGGCAGGCTGGCTAGGCCATGGTCTGGCGGCTGAAGAGATCAAGCGTGAGGGCGCTGAGGAAGGCAGGGATGCTGTCCTGGCGCAGCAGGTGCAGCTCGATGAGCTCCCGCACGGTGCCTGAGAACGCCGTCTCCAGCAGCTGCATCTTGGCGCCCGAAGGTCCCGTGGCCTGCAGGGTGGGCGGAGACACGGAGGAGAGCCATCAGCGGAGTGGTGGCTCTCGAAGTTCCCCCCGGCCCCTCCCTCAGGGCCCTTCAGTGACAGGGCAGGGAGGGGTGGAGACCCTGTCCCAGGCGGGTGGCCACAGACTAGGGGCGTCTGTCCAGGGACAGGGCCCCTCCCAGTGGGCAGGGATCCGGAAGACGCAATGTGGGGCATGGGCTCCGGGTCCCCAGCTCCTCCCGGTCAGCCCATCCCACCCTCCACGTCCTCCGACCCCAGCCACCATGAGAATGGTGGCCTGACACCCCCGCCCCCTATTCTACAGATGAACAGTCAAGGGGCCAGAGCCGCCCAGGGAGCTGACCCAGGGATGGCTGTACCCTCTGGAGTTCAAGTCCCGTTTCCTCCCGTCATACTGCACAGGCCACAGAATGGGGGGTTCCCACTGGCGGTGCTGGGGAGCTAACCCCGCTCAGCAGGCCTGGCAGAGAACGTCCCTCTGGGCCTCGTTTCCCTGTCTGTGCAGTGAGGGCACAGGAGTCGGAGCCCTGCTGGCCCGCAAGTTCTGGGACCCCATGAAGGACAAGGTGCAGGAAAGGGCTGGGGAGCCGGGCAGTCATGGAGAACCCAAGGTGGGGCGTGGTCCCAGCTCCAGGACCTTCCGTTCCTTCCTTATGAAGCATCACCTATAACTGGGGAGCATTGTGAAGGGAGACCAACCTGCAAGTGCCTCAGCCCTAAGCACTGTGTGTGTGACACATGGCGAGGCTTCCCAAAACTAGCTGGCCGTCCCCTCGTGCGCAAATGGGGAGACCGAGGCAGGTCTGGGCAGAGCCAAACCTCAGCCACAGGGCCAGGACTCCAGGCCGGGTGCTCAGGGTCAGGGGGTGGGGACGGCCAGGTGTTCTGGGCTAGTGGTGTGGACAGAGGCCCAAAGGGGCCTGAGCACTTGGGCAGGGGCTCGCCGTGCTCTGTCTTTCCCTGAAGGTGCCCTGGAGACCCCCAGAGGTGAGGGGGGTTGCCTGATCCAGGATGGCACATAGCCCGCTCTCATACAGCCTCACCAGCCAGCAAGCTCAATCCCACTGAGAAGGGACACGTGGGGCCCTTGCTGGAGCAGCCTGCTGCCTGCCAGCTGGGTGGGGGCCCACGTGGCTGTCCCCCGGTGCCAGCTGCAGACGGGGAGGTGTCCGGGGCTCTGGCCTGCTGGGGGTGCGGAGGAGCTGGGGGCGCAAGCCGGGGAGGGCGCAGCTCCGGTCCAGTGAAGTGGGTGATGCTGGCAGAACAGGACCAGGGGTGTCAGGGGCTGGGTGGGGTCACCGAGGGCCAGCACCTCCCACTCAGTACATGCAACCTGGTCAGCTGAGGACCATGGCTGCCATGCAGTCTGGAGTGCCCAGGCTGGAAGGGACATGTCCGCAAGGACACACCTCGTGGCATGTGTGCACTCTTGGTGGCGGGAAGACCCCTCCTTCCCAGACAGCTCTTGTCAGGAAAGACTCCTCCCTAGGGACCCCCAAACCTGCCACCTGCCTGCTCCCAGGTGCCTGTGGTACCAAGATTCTCGTAATGACAGCCGGAAAGCTGTGGCCCGTCCGTGGGGCTGGGACGTGTCCGGTGTACCTGGCAGTGTGGGCTGGGGCCAGGCAGGAGGCAGGCTCCCAGCCACAGAAACCCCACAGAACAGTCACCTTCAACCAGCACAGCTGATGCCCGATTGAGTCCATGACCTTGCCACTCCTACACCTGATAACGAGATGACCAACGCTCCGATCACAGCACGGGCAAATGATCTGAGTGAGGGTTTTTTCAGGGAGCACACACTTATGTCCAAGGAGCACCTAAAACCCCAGGGAGTATACATCAATGTCCAAGGAACACCTGAAACCCCGGGGAGTACACGATGTCCAAGGAGCACCTGAAACCCCAGGGAGCACACACCCATGACCAAGCAGCACCTGAATCCCCGGGGAGCACACACTCATGTCCGAGGAGCACCTGAAACCCCAGGGAGCACACACCGATGTCCAAGGAGCACCTGAAACCCTGAGGAGCACACAACCATGTCTGATACAACAAGTGCAGCTGAGGGTGCGGAGAAGTAGGACCCCAGATGCAGCTGGCAGGAATAGAAGTGATGCACCCACCATGGAGAATGGAGAACGTTCTGGCATTCCGTGAGCACCTAACCATACAGCCAGAGGTTGGGCTCCGGGGGCTACACCCAAAAGGAACAAAAGCCCCTGTGCACACAGACCCCTGGATACGTGCGTTCATGGCAGCAACATGTGTAATAGAGAGTGCACACCGCCCATGGAGGAACAGGTGAATGGGTGTCAGTCGATGGACTGGTATTCAACCACAGAAAGAACAAAGCTCGGATCCCTGCTGCACCCAGGACTACTCTCGAACACGTGCTCGGCTAGACATGGGACAACATGCATGCATGAGGTGACTCGTGGGAGTTTGCAGAACGGCAAGTCGGCGGGAGGGAGGGTACATCAGTGGCTGCCAGGGACTGGCTGGCCCAGAGGACAGACTGACAGGGGTGCGAGGATGTTGGCAGTGTGACAGAAAGTTCTGGAATTAGATTCTGGTGGCAGCACAGCTCAGAAATACACCAAATACACTGAAAAGCACACCGCAGGGTGAACTGCACAGCATGGGAATTGTCCTAGAGCTGGACACACATACTAAAGGCCCCGTCGGTCCCACAGCCTAATGGGGACCACCCTCTTCCCAGGAGCTACAGGGCTGCCTCACTCCTGCATACAGCAGGCCTCATGCCTGGCCTGAACACCCTCCTCTACCTGGGAAGGAGGCCTGGATGCACCTGTCGGGGTGGTAGGGTCCCTCCGACACCCCAGGGATGGGCTGGTTCTGGCTATGCCTACCCCCTGTCCTGTTCCAAGAGCCCTCCCAGTGCCCGGCGTTGAGCGGCCCCCCTCTGTGTGCTGCCTCACCAGGGCGCTCACCCCGCCCCGGGCAGTCCATCCTGCTCCCCTGCACGTCTGTGCATTTAGCCTTGTCATAGTTCAACACAAACCATTTTTAAACAAAAGTAAGAGAAACCACTCTGACCTTTTACCAAGAAAATCCTTTCATTTCTGCCTTCTGCTCAATTCTGCAATTTTCCCCTAAATGTCAGAGGGGCTGATTCTCCCACAGCTGGGTGGGGCGGGGGAGTAGATGCAGGGCACCGCTCAGGCTGGCAGGGAGCAGACAGAGGGCACCGCTTAGGGTAGGGGTGGGGGGAGAGCAGATGCAGGGCACCACTCAGGCTGGGGGGGAGCAGACGCGGGGCACCGCTCAGGCTGGGGGGTAGGAGATGTGGGGCACTCTCAGGCTGGCGGGGGAGAACAGATGCAGGGCACTGCTCAGGCTGGGGGGGAGCAGACGTTGGGCACTGGTCAGGCCAGGGGGCAGTGATGGGGGCTGTGGCACCCCCTTGGCTCGGCAACTGGGCGGCAACCATCATCCAAACCGGGGACCCTTCACCCTGCACTGTGCCAGGCCAGGACCCCTGCCCACCTGGGAGGTGGTCTTCAGTCTGGGGGTCTCCACAGATCCCTGTGCCCTGGGGGCTGGCAGAGGGCGGCGTGCAGGAAGGAGGCGTGGCCAGGGCCACCTTCTCAAAGACAAGGGCTTGCGAGCTGCCTGCCTCCCTGGCCGTTCCGTGGGAAGGGCCGTGTCCTCCCTCAGAGGTGGTGTGGAGCTGAGCAGCCTCCAGAACGGGCCCCCAAATCACACTGTGCTGATCAATCTCTGTGAGGCTCCGTCGTGTTCAAATACCACCCGGTCCCCAGGTACCTTGTAAATCACTCTAATTAGGGGCTGTTCACTTAAAATTAGAGAGCAATTTTTTAAAAAGCAAATTGCCCAGTAAGACGCACTGGCTGTGGCTGGAAATATTTATGGGCTGGCGGCTGTGTCTCTGCCTCCTCTGCCCCCAGCACCTGGGAGTGACAGGGCGGCGTGGCTGGCAGGTACCCCGTGGCGAGCAAGGCGCTCGGCTGTAACAAGGCCTTGGGGCCCGCTGGTCGTCAGTGTGGTCCGGCGCCCGAACCTCAGCCTGTGCTCGCCTCTGTGCCTCCTCCTCCCGCCAGGCAGTGGAGCCGGGCCTGCCTCAAAGGGTTCGGCCGGGACCCAGAAGGCCAGGCACCTGCCACGACATGGCCGCGGAGAAGGGCCCTGCGGGGGAGCCAGGGACATCGGGGGCAGGGGTTTTGCTGAGGGGCGGTGCATGGCACTCACATGGTCTCTGGCTCCAACGGGGCTTGTTAACTGCGAGCCTGTGGTGTCCCAGCCGGCAGGGCCTTCGTGAAATGCCCTGAGTGGAGGACTGCCCCCTCTTGGGTGGTCCCCTCCCAAGCCCCCAGCTGGGGGGGCTGGTGAGGCCCACGGGAAGGGCACAAGTGGGAGGGGAGTCCCGTCGAGAGCAAGATCATGCCTTGCTGAGGGCGGCAAAGGCAACCACGAATGAGGACACGGGGAACCCAGAGATAAAACCCACGGCCAGGTGTGGGTACACACGTCCACGCCCGAGCAAGATTTAGACAACGGACAGAATTCTCAAACAGGGAGTGTGAACACCACTCTCTCAAGACTCCTGGAGTGGAGTATCGTCTCTGTGTGACAGCATCGTGAGTGGTCATGACAGGGCCCAGTCGACTCGCGAGGACGTGGCTGATGCCAGCCGGAGGGAAACGCAAGATGACGGGAGCATTGTGGGGCACGTCACAGGGGCTCGGGAGCCCCTACTCAGTGAGCGAGACACGTGAGGTCACACGGTGCGCTTCCACGACCCTGTGGGCTGAGGAGAAATGCGTGGTCTTGGCTTGTGGGTGCACCGGGCAGAGCTGTGGGGACACAGAGCCCTGGGTGCCCTGCTGGAGATGAGGCCCGCCAGGCATCGGAGCTCTGCCTCGAGAGACCAGAGAGAGAAGGGACAGGTCAAGTGCAAGGAGGAATGAACGACACTGAAAACAGGAGAGGGGCTACTGTGAC